TACGACGACTACGACCACGACCACGATAGGATCACGACTGCGACCGCGACCGCGACCACTACCGACCACGACCTCGGCCTCGACCTCGTCCACGACACGACGAAGACCACCACGACCACGACCACCACAAAGACCACGGCCACGGCCACGGCCACGACCACCACCGCGACCACAACCGCGACCTCGACCGCGACCGCCGCCGCCACCACGATGACGGCGACGACGACGACGACGACGACTGAGACTACCACTATTGGCGCCACGAAGACTGCGACGGCGATGCTCGCCACTGCTATGACAGCTATCACGACTGCTTCTGTCGCAACTGCTAGGCTCTGGTGTGTCTTCGAACTGGCGGCTTACCGCAAAGCCAATCCCGATGGACGTATGGTCTTGGCACCTCTCTTTATCGAAGCTGGCGTCCTCTTGCGACTCGGCGATCCGAAGTTGCAGACCCCAATCTTATGGAACAATCTCAACCTTGCTGATGTCACGCTCTGCTTTCGCAAACTGTTGCCAAGGAGTCTCTTGGGGACGTATTTTGCAGCTTTCCTCTTTGCGGTGGGCTTCGCGCTGGACTGGCAGTCTCTGGAAATCCGCTTTGTGGGCTATGTGCTTGGGTGGCCCTGCTGCGAATCTGGCTGGGGAGTTTTGGGTGCATGACTATTGACTATTGAATTTTCGTAAATTCGGGGTGCAGGCTTTGGACGGGGGGTCAGAGCCTGGTAGCTTGCTGGCTCAATACATGGTCATGCCGATCACTGTCGTCGTATGTTGACCGAGCTTCCCCCTGTTGAGAGAAAGCTAGCCTGAGGCTTGCACCCATCTATGTGCTCATGCACCTCTTTCGCCGGACGAACATGGCCAAGCTAAAGCTTCTGTCAGATTTGCAGACGTTTGACTTGGCGCAAGCTGCCTGCTTGCACAGTTTCTGTGGCTCAGGGCTGACGGTTATCGGTAGCACCAGCCAGCACATACTGGCAACGGTTGTGGGTTGTTTGTTCACCAGGCTGACTGCCGCACAGACTTTGACCGCGAGTTCATACACCGGGCCATCACTGAGTGGTATGGGAGCAAGGAGAATTTCACACAGTACGTTCGTGGGCCGCTGCGTGGCGAATTGTTGGGTAGCAACAAGGAAATCCTACCGCTCCAGTATATTTTGCTCGTTTCCACAGCGACGTTCAGTGCGTCGCTGGACAACATCATTGCGCTGGATCTGGGACAGGTGCCACTTTACTGGCAGTTGGCCCAGGCCATCGCGAACTGTTGCGGCTTCCACCTGTGCTGGCATCTCGTCTCATGTAAGTTGAACCGAGTGTTAGCTCTACTTCTGTGATGCTGTACTGCTGGTGTCCCAGGTTCGTGATGTTTCTGAAGCTTTGCATCTTTCTCTGCGACCGCTTTGCCGCACCGATGTTCCCCGGGCTGCTCGACTTTGTGCAGACTTTCGTCCTTTTCGGCGCTGGTGTTGCCTTTTACTACGTTGGGGCAGAGCTCAGTCGCAGGGCCTACCTGGCCAGCCTCGAGGCATCCATTGCATGGGCTCTTTCCGCGTGCCTTTTGGCCGTCCTGTCTTTCTTCACTGATCGGATTGTCAATCACCGGTTTCACTCATCGCAGAGAGCGGACGGTTCCGCTGCACGCTCTGGTCCCTGAACTCGGGAGACCAACAGCGCAGCCAAAGATGGACCAGGCATCTGCAAAAGAAGCCCCGGGATCGAAGAGTCTGGGAGCCGCTGGGAGCCCCTTGCCCACCTCAGACCCTGTAGCCTGGCTGCCTAGAGGATGTGAAAGGCAGCTTGCTAGAACAGACCCATGGCTACATTAATAGGTTTCAAGCTCCTGGGCAGTTGCGGTTGTTCTGGAGGGCTTGACAAAGCAACCCTGCAGCCCCTGAGCTTTGAAGCAGGCTTGGTGCTGCAGGGGCCCTAGCATATGCTTTGTGCAGGCAATTGCAGGCTCCGGATCGAACTATCCTCATCAGATTGTGAAACAGGTGAGCTTTGCAGCTTGGGGAAGGTTGTCTTGAAGCCCCGTGGCTGAGGTCATCACGGTGGCCACTGTGTGACTACTACTTACGACTGCTCTGCAGGTTGGGCACGGCAGATTTCTGTTTGTTTGGGATCCGATTCTTCTGATGTTCTTTAGCTCTTCCTTTTGTCAGAGGCTCCGAGAGGACGAAACAAAACCTGAGGTTACCTCCGCCTTGATGCCGCAAAGAAAACTCAGCCAGGCTACGCTGACTGGCAGTCCCGTTGGTCAGATGCCAAAGCTGATTGGTGCTTCTGGGCTGCAAACTAGGTCTGGGGAGTTTGAATGTTGTTCCATCAGCTGTCTCTCTCTCGCTCGAAACAATTCGCGATCATGGATGCTTGACTAGAGCCAGAGCGCTCCATTGAAAGAGGAGCCTTGTCAAGCCAGCTAAGGTTGCAGCCACGAGCAAAAAGGTTGCAAAGAGATGGGCACTTCCGTTCCTCGATCCGGTTGCGGTAAATGAGTATCGAGGTTGACCGGAAACTTATCGGTGACTTTCCATCATAACTTGCAGGACCGTTGACTTGAATTTGTGTCGCTAGCGGGCCGGTGCAGTCCAATAACCTCACTCGGCGAGATGCTTGCTAGCATCACTGCGAAAGTGTCGTCAAGATTCCACCTTGCTTGCAGAGGTCACAGAGGTCGTGCATCATGTCCCGGTGCCGGTCCCTGTGCCCGTCAAAAAGACGCACGTGGTCTACCACAGCAGCTTGGAGCTATTGTGATAAACAGTATGCTTCGGCAACGAGGGCCTGCCATAAGGTTATGGTGGCAGGATCGGAATCAGAACCGAGTGTAGGACTTCAGAACCCAGAAGCCAGAAGGACCCACGCTTGCATGTACAAGGTCCCATCTTACCCCCTGGTTTTGCGGCCTGATCCGAGGCCATCCAGTGCCTGTGCCCGTGGTGGTGCATGTGCATCAGTCGGTGCCTGTGAACTCTCGCTGTAATCAGATCAGGGCGAGAAGCCTTTCCCTTTCCTTGGGTCTAGCAGGCATGACGGCTACGACTGCTGGCATGGGGCCACCTGGTCTCCGGCCAAGAGGCCCTGGGACTGTTGGAATGCAGTAAAATGCGAAAACTTCGCCGAGAATGCAGACTTCGGGTAGAGAGTAGAGGCTATGCGCGTTCAGCCCCAATGTGCAGTGGACATGCTGTGCGTTTTTGCAGAAGGCTTTGTTGTCTCGCTGGCTCATGCACCGACAGGAAAGTGCTCAAGCATAGGTGCAGCCAGCTGTTTTACGCTTGCGCTTGGAATGCGGCGCCAGGCACTACTGTTGTTCACAGCACAACCTGGGCTGCTCGACCCACGTGCACGTAGCTGCTCGGCAGGATGCTGCACCAGGGGACTTGTCGCTGAACTCCTTCTGCTGTAGCCGACATGTCTCAGAACCATGTGCAGCTTGCGTCAGGATGCTAGGAAGCCGTAGGCAACAACGGAAAGTCACCAAAAGATTCGATCCCATCCTTCTGTACGTGACGTCTTATCATGAGCATAGCTGTAGCACGGCTGGCGTAACTGCGGCTTCTTAGGTTCACGTCTACCACCACGTTCGTGGGCATTTTGACTGCCAAGCAGGGCAGTCAAGCTGGCAGGCGCAGTCTGCGAAGCATCCCGAAACCTTAGACTCAGTCCACGCGCACTTTCGTAAAGTAGCCTGTAACCAGTTCTCAGTTGCTTGCGCACGACCGCATCAGGCCAGTAAGCCTCAGTAGTCTTTTTACACGAAGTAGTTCACACCTGGGATAGACCCAATATTTAGAGAGTGCTGCAGGTAGGATGGTCCGTTGCCAAGAAGCACTGGTGCTGCGTGCAGTACATGGTGGGCTGTGCGGAGGACTTCCTTACCGTCCTTGCAGGCCTGGTTTCGGTTTGCTTGCTTGATTGGTCTAGGACTCTGGTGCCTCGCCTTCAGTGACGCACAGTGTCGTCCACACTTATGCGACTGGGTACTGTCTGGGAGTGAGTGACAGGGCAGGTGGAAGAGAGGGAACAAATGGGTTCGTGCAGCTTAGGAGAACGGTGATGACTTCCCCAGCGGATCTGTGGATGGCCTTGTCGGTGGCGTGGCGGATGGCAACTTAGCCGGTGGCTCCGTCAACGACGATTTTACCAGTGAGACAGAGGAGGGTGACTCTGTGGATGCTGACATCGCGGAAGAGTCCGGCGTTCCGACTGAGTCCTCGGTGGATGTACCCGAGGTGGAATCGGAGGGATCCGACTCCGTGTCTGAGGGTCTGGGTAGCGAAGGCTCTTCGGGGCATCCGTTCCTAGCCACTCCCCTCAGCGACGAAGTGACAGAGGACATCACAGACGACGCGGCGAAGAAGTAAGCTCCAAGCTCCGGCCCATCGCTGCTCTTAATGTGATCATAGCACCTTTCAAGAATGCTCGGGAATTAGGCAGTCATTGGGGCAGCCACTTGCTTAGGGCTGAGGCGCAGGCTGACTAATTCATCGCCGGCGGCTTCAAAGACGGTCGCCGGTGCCGTGGGAACCACGCTATGCAAGTCGTGAGCTTCAAATCCGATGAAGTGCGGGGCTCCTGCCAAGCTTTCGTCTGCCGGTCTATGAGCCCTGTCGACAATGTGGGCAGCTCTGGGGTAGTCGTAACAACTTGATGTTCCGGCAAAGTCAGCATGATAATTGTTGGGCAGTGCACGTGTGCACACACTGACAAGTTCAGCGTGTGGAAGTCTTGTGTCCTTGCAACCAGTTAGGGGCAAACACCTGTTAGGAAGACGCAGCTGCTGAAGCCGTTGCAGCTTTTCTTCGTACAGCTTCCTGTGCCGAGCCATGTCAGGACAACGGCAAAGTTAGTCCCGTGGTTCTGGCAGCATTCGCGTTGCTGTGTGGGGCTTCAGAAGATGAGCTGATGGACTCTTTGGGCGAGTTCAACGTCTCGCCGCGCCAGGTTAGCGGCACTGCTGGGCCAGTCAGTGGCTGAAGGTCTGAATGCTTATCGCCAGCAGGGAGGCCAGCCCACTTATGTGTTGAGGACTTGCTTGACGATGCTGGCCCTGACTATGTGGCTCCCTGCAATGAGCAAGTTAGTGGGGCAGTGCCTGAGGTCCCCACTGACACCAATCCTGAAAAGGCACCGTTAGCACAGGCCTCTGCGGCATGCAGGTCACTGAGCAGGACTATGTCGACGAGCTGGCTGTCGCACCAGCTCTTTCGACCCGGCTACCGGCTACCTGTGCCGCCGACAATGGACACCCGGTAGTCCCAGCCACAAATGCCAGGTTCGGGGGCAAGGCACCACCACCACCGCCAGTTCGTCGATAGGCCCTACAGGACAGCAGCAGCCAGCCCCGTCAGTTAGACCGGCAGTCAGAACTGTGGCCAGCCTAGGGCCTCCAATGAATGAGGAGAGCCGCGCGGCCGGTCAAGCGGGTGGGTGCCTCACAACCTGGTAGCAAGGGCTGCAACGACCAAGGCTTTCATTTTTTGTTTGGAAGCCGAAGCCGTAGCCCAGATCGCATGCCATGCGGTCGCTTCTGAAGTCCTGTCAGGTGACGTGCTTTGCGTGTCGACAGCAGTCCCCGTGAGCACGCCCTCAGGAAGGGCCGCCACTCGTAAGGCCAACCTCTCCGACCGCCCTAGCGTCCTGTTAGGATGTCAGCACAAGAAGCCTGAGTTTGACAGAGCTTGGGAGTTCCTGTTCCTGTTCGAGCTGACCGAAAACAGAGAAACCCCCTCTTCGAGAAGCTGGCCAACCTGTTAGCGCTACACCCGATTGCCCAGTGAAAGCGCGAATGAGTGGTCGTTCCGCGCTAGAGTGGAAGTTCTGCGGACCGACCAGTTCGCTTTTCAGAGGCTTGAGCAGGTTGGCACGAGTTAGCGGACCACACCACTCCGCGGGCAGTGGAAAAAAACTGGCTTTAGTGCGTGCACTTCCACGGGGCGTTGAACTTGTCGGGCAGTGCACGTGTGCACACAGTGACAAGTTCAGCATGTGGAAGTTTGTGGTGTTTGCAACCAGTTAGGTGCAAACACCTGTTGGGAAGAAGCCGTTGCTGTGTGCACTTCCACAGAGCGTAGAGCTTGTCCAGAGCGCTTCCTGCTAGGTCCTAGTTTGTCGGCGGGACAGCTCAGCAAAACTTTTAGGTTTGTGTCACTTCGACGGATTCGCTGCAGGTGGCCTTCTGCCACGGAGGGCCCCAAAGGGGCTTCAGAGCCTCCGGGCTGAGGGTCAGGATTCAGGCTTGTGGATGGCTGGTGCTTGCCTTGTAAGCAAGACTCATCGGCAAAAGCCCGTCTTCGGTGTCATCGCCAGCCTCCTATGCTTTGGCCCGTGCCTGTCCGTGATTCCATGTAGTCTTTTCGCCGAAGTCGGCTTCGGGCAATGAAAACAAAGTGGCCAAGATATGCTGCAGTAAGTTGTGCAGAAACGGCAGTCGAGCAGAAGGAGAAACACGAGAGGGAGGGAGAGAGAGAGAGAGAGCGAGAGAGAAACTGAGCCGGTTGTGTTGCGAAGAGTGGGACCCATGCGTTGCTTCCATTGAAGTCTAGGAAAACAGCCCACTGCATGTTGTACTTTGAGAAGCCCACTGGTAAGTGCTTTGTCCAGCGACTCTGCCGGCTCTGTGAGGTTGATGAACTGCACTGGTGCGGAGCCTGTGCGCTGGCTGTTGGCGTTAAAAATGCTGGCGACCTTTTCTGAAAGTATCATAGCACAGCGCTACGAATCCTGCGGATGCCACGCGCAAGGGCATGCAAAGGTCTTCGGAGATGCTGGCCCGAACGCCCACATCCACAAGCAAATCCGGCAAAGACGCCAATCAACCCCTTGGCTCCTTGAAGGAGAGCCCTGTGCCTCCGAGCCCAGCGCAGACAAGGAGGCTCCTGAGAAGGGCAATTTACGCAATCGAGAGGTTAGCAGTGCTTGAGTGGTTTTCCTGTGCTGCGCCATCTCGACCTTCCATCCAAGCGACATTGCACCTATACCGATACCTCAATCAGGAATTGGCTAACAAGCTCATCTGAGAGGCATTCCTCCTGCCGATGTCGATTCATGACACTTCGAGTTGCTGGGGATCCGTTTTCCTAAATGTCATGCATCTTCGAGGCGGCCTCTCTTCGAAGCCCACGGAGCGCCAGCTGGGAGCCTTGGCATCTGCGACGTCAGCAGGAAATCCGGTGTGTCAGGTCTTTGCCTCAGGCTGTCCACGCCAAGCTCCGAACACCCCAATATCGTGGGCTTGCTTTGTGAGATTGCTCCCAGGCCCCCCAGGTGTGCCGAGTCCCCGCCACAGGTCCAGTCAAAGGCCCTGGCTGCACACATGCGAGGCAGCCCGCGCCAAGCCGTGTAGGACCAGGGAAATCAGGGTTGATCTAGGCCTTTGCCAGCGCTGGAAGCATTGGGCAGCTTAGACATAATATGTCTTTTCGGAGCGTCATCTGCAAGCACGACGGTATGGCCAAGAGCCAAGTCCGCTCCCATGTCATGTTATGGTGAATGCTCAGCTAGCTTGGTGCAAGCAGTCGCCAGAAGCTGCATGCCGACGGCCCAAGGGCAGTTGTGGTGAGCCATTCGGCAAGACGTGCCTTCCAAGGCTATGCTTTGCACTGAATGCAGTTTGGGCCACTGTAGTCAGTCATCGGGCTCTAGGGCGCTCGCGTTCCACCCGTCGCCATGCCGGCTGACTGGCCTGCAGCGATTGTGAAAGCCCCAGTTTTGCACGTGAAGGCTCAGCGGCCCTTGGCCTCTCGCAGGTCTCAAGGCTGGATCTCGAGCGTATGATAACAGTATCAGTATCGTTTGTCGAGATCTTCAAAGATGCCGCACCTTCGGTGCAAGCATCTTTTCGATACACGAACGCGAAAGCCCAAGGTTCTGGGGATCGTGGTGGGTTCCCTGCTCACCCTCTTGGTGGCGGCCGCTGTCATCAAGAAGAAGGCCATCGGAGTGACGCAACCTTAGAGTGCCTTGAGACTGTCTAAAAGTAGCGGGGAGTGTTCCAGAGCATCTCTTGCGGAATCCAAGGAAGGCCACGGAGTGATCGCGACGTGCAGGCTGGCCTCGGTTTGAGGGGAACCGAGCCTCAGCCAGAAGCCCTGGCAGGGACGCTACCGGATGTCACGTGATCGTGGAGGTGGAGGGCTGCAGCGAGCCATCGGGAGTAAGCCAAGGCTGTGTCCTGACAGTCTGACAGCTTGTCATCCGTAAAACTCGGTTTGATTGGTGGGCAGGAGGAGGCTCCTTGGAGGAGACAAGTGAAAGGAGCGACAGGTTGTGAGCGGTTCTCCCGCAAGGTGAGAGGACGCCACAGCCACAGAAAGGCACATCTTGTACAGTGCCTGTTATTGCTTTCAAGCTTCTGTCCCGCATGCCAGCCTGCGAGGGCAGGGCCTTGGCATGTTTCACCACAGCAGGCCTTCGTTGAGTTAATGACTCTGGCTCCTGATTGGGAGCGATGCCGTGCAGTCCAAGGTAGGGTTTCAGGCGTTGGCGGACTGTGGGAGTGCGCAACGGAGATCAAGGCTGCTTCAAGATTCCATGCCGCCACCTGGAGGTACTAGTGTCAGTGATGTTTAAGGTAGGTTGCCGAGGTTTCAGGCTCTCTGCTGCTCGCTTGGCCCGGCTCGTGCCAAATCAAACCGGAGTGCCTTTAGTAAGTGGTGCTGACTAGGAGTGCATGAAACCCATGCGTGAAGCCCATGTTGACTTTCCAAATCATCAGCCGGTTAGCCAGTCTAACCAAACATGCTCATAAGCAGGAGTACGAGTCTGCAGTGTATTGGCAGCCCAGATTCTGCAGAACTTGCCAGAGCCCGGCGAAGGCACTCAGAACGACTTGGGCCTCCCGTTCGGTGGGTTGTTGCCCTTAGTGTTGGAGTTTGTATCGTTTTAAGGCTTAGAGAGTTTGGCAGTGAGACCAGATTCGCAAGATGTCTGCCATGGCGCCAGTGCTCTTTGCCTTGCTTTGGCCAGCGGCAGTGTGGGGGTCGGGGTCTCAGGGATTTGCAAGGGGCCAGCGACTTGTGCTGTTGTCTTTCTTAACCCAGGGTGGTTTTGGCTTCTAAGCTCAGGTCCTTGAGTCCTTGCGATGCACCTGGAACCAGGCGGGCTCAGGGTTCGGCCTGAAGGTTATGCCCAGAGAAGTGCTGCTGTGCCAGGTTCCGTGGTGAGCCAATAGTAGTTCGCCGTGGGAGCCCCAGCCCTGCCTCTTCCAGGTCTTCCAGTCTCATTCTGTGATAATGGCCTTTGTTCATTGTAGTAAGTTTGAGCTTGATTTGATCGGACTGATATCAGAAGTAGCATGCTGTAAGCCGGTGCCTTGTCATGCGGCAAGCGACGGCTAGCACCCTGCTGGCATCCAAAGATAAAGATCCAGATCGACACCCTCACCATTGCTTATCCAACACGCAATGCTCTGTTTCGCTGGCCTCCTGATCCGCAGGTCACCGAGAATCCTTGCTGGCACACCACTGCTGTTGAACTAGCGATGAATGACTACATTCCTCACCGTTCTCACAGCCTAAGCAAGCTTTGCTCCCGAGCTGCGCAGCCGCTTCAAAGGCTGCCGAGTCCCAAAACTATTGCACAAGCCTAGGAGGTCGTAAGCTTGTGTTGCTGGTCGCATTGCACGGGCGAGTGCGCTCGAGCAGGGCGAGCTTGTACTGTCACGGCAGCCCTCAGCCCACCTCTGGCTGACCTAGCTGCTGCGGCTCGAGACAGCCACCGAAACGAAACATCCAAGCCATGCTCCGCCTGACCACGATCACGGTTTTCGTTGCCTGTGGCATCGCTTCTGGGTCGGAATGCTTGGAGTGCGCTGGAGATGAAACTCTTCTGGTGCAGTTGAAGCCACTCAGTTGCGCGTGGGAGACGTTTGTCCTCAGAGAAGGGATGCTTGAAGGAGCTTGCCAGACACTGTGAGCATACTCGGAGCATTCTCGGGTAAGCCAGCAGTTTGTCCTGTGTCAACAGCTCCGTCAAAGCCCTCACATGCATGCCGTCAGGGAGGTGCATAGCCACCAAGTCGGCAAGAGCAACACCAGTGCAGCCGTGCAGGAGGCCGAATGGGGGATAACCGTAGTTGGGCAACCTATAGACTGACGCTGCATCTTGAGCACTGGTGCCAAATTCTCTCGAGCCAATGGTGATTTGTAGTGCTTTTCTTGCTGTTCCTTTACGGCTTCTGCTTTGCAGGTGGAGTTGGAAGGATCCGAAAATGATCCTCCTCTGTACTGCTACTCGGAAAAAAGCCATCCTTGGTCATTCAGCTGCCAGAATCTACTGGGTTTTGGGTATGTGATTTGTGATGCTTCGCTGGTTGAGCCTCGCATGCTTTTGCTCGACCGGACCAAGGCAGGGACGCGGAGCCACAGTCACCTCGAGAAGTGAGCCCGGGGCTGCGGACTCATTCGCACCTGTTGGGTAAGAGTCGCGGTAGGGATGGCGGTATCGCGGTCTTGCGAAATCAACTCCAATGCAGGTTTGTGGGTGACATGCGGGCGCGGTTCAAGCCGCTGGGTGGCGATGCCATCAGGGACTTCATTCAGGCCTGCTGCTGCTTTGAGCCTTCGGGAGCTCAAGGATGTCATCTCCATCAGAGAGTGATTGGTGGAAGCTGTTCTGTGAAAATGTTTTGACCGCCCTTCTAGGTAAACCTCCATTGGCACCTGGGCGCTGAGCACTACAGCAAGGGCGAGTACGACATCCCTGTCGGAAAGCATCTCCACTACCGTGACTGGGTTGATCAGTAATCGGTAGCCCACGACGGGTGATTTGTAGACCGAGGCTCCAGAACTTTTCCAAACTGACATTCATCTGCTGCCAGCAGACGCAAGCACTTCAGGATTTCAAGGATTGGGGCCTCCGGCACTGGGAAAAGCGGTGTTTAACAAATCAGTTATCGCAAGGGCGAGGAACCAATGAATCATGGTAGTCAGAATGTTAGACTTAGACAGTTAGACAGGTCATCTTTCCTGCCATGGACAGTGTCAGCGAGCTGCCCATCTTCGCCGCAGTCCTTCTCAGGTCATGGTGTGCCGGAATGGGATGGCCATCCCCTCGTGCCAGAGGGTACGCAGCCGGGTTTCTTCTGCAACCTCAGGTGCCCGGACTGCTACTTATGGTCGCGCTGCGCGCGCCTACTGCTTCAACCACGACATCTATTGCCACTGTCTCTCTGCTGCTGCTGCTGCTGCTGCCGCTGCTGCTGCTGCCGCTGCTGCTGGTGCCGCTGCTGCTGCGGCTGCTGCGGCTGCTGCTGCGGCGGCCACAAGAAAGCAAAATAGTTATGGTAATCTGATGTTCATTATTTTTATTAGTAGGAAGTAGTCGTAGTCACAGTAGCTTGACTGTAGTAGCTGGTAGCAGCAGTAGTAGTCTGTACAGCCGAGAGGGCAAGAGGGCACCCCAGTACCTGGCATGTCAGAGATTGGCAGTTTGAGTAGAGTCAGGCACTACTTGGGGCAGCAATGCTAAGCATGTGGCCGGACGCCAGAGACACCAGGCACTACGATGACTTCCTGAAGCCGTACG